TAACATACATGATTACGAGATTTTGACGCAACAGAAATCAAACAGCTGATAAAATGCCGTGGTCAGTTAGTACAGAAATTCCCATTTAAATGCATTAGATTGCTATACATATCTTTAATAAACCAGACGGCTGTTAAGTAGGGCTGCACGATATATCGCATGCGATATTTAACGCGCATCTTGTCAGTAAAGCCGGTTCTGTAATCAGCGGTAAATCTCCATCACCTGCGGGCTTTCACATGGCGCAGCATTAACTACACCGTTAGCCGTTGTTCACCGACAAGCTGCGCAAAACATGCGCAAAATATGATCGTGGTTTTGCGCAGCTTGTCAGTGAACAACGGCTCTGTGTAGTTAATGCTGCGCCATGTGAAAGCCCGCAGGTGATGGAGATTTACCGCTGATTACAGAACCGGCTTTACTGACAAGATGCGTGTTAAATATCGCATGCGATTTATCGTGCAGCCCTACTGTTAAGTTACCACTAGAAATGTAAAAAAGCATCTGATCAAGCATTAGTGATTCAGCAGGCTGTGGTTGACTGGATTAAAGCCAAATTCTTAAACAGACAAATCAGCATTGTTCTGTGATTCCCCACAAATTCCTACCTTGATGACTCGTCCAATGAGGCCCAGATGAGAAACAGCATTCGCTCGAACAACACGCTCATTGTGTGCACCTGTGTGTTATGACCACAACAGCCTCTTTAACAGCGCGCGTGTGTGTGTGTGTGTGTGTGAGAGAGCGTAAACCCAGTTCTGCATCTCTGGATCACCACAGGGGAGAATACAGAGCTTTATATGAATTCCAGTCATGCTCTGGGGAGCCGTGCTGGGGTCAGGACGTTAGGAATCACTTCCTATGGCCTTTTCATTTTTTAATACACTTACACACAAACGTGATATGGAAAACACAGAATCACAGAATCGAGCCACAAAAATGGAATTTACAGTCTAACACAGCATGTCAGGGAATTTGGCAAAATTTAGATGAATAAATTAAAATTAAGGCTGTACACTTGATCAAATCAGGAAATGGACTAGTGTCTGTGAATATTAAAGCGCAAAAAGACTATTTAAATATGAATCCTGCATGCTCTGCGTGTCTCTGTGAATGAATGGCATGGTTTTGTCTATTACACATTCTGAAACACTAGTGACACTTGTGATGTTTTCAGCATCTGCTGGCTCATATGAGAACATGAACACATGAACTGCATCTCTACAGCTGCTCTGAAGGTCACTTTAACAGCATTTTACCGTTTAATTTCAGAAAATTATCATTAGATACAAAGAGAAACTCAACGGTCTTCACTACAACCTACTAAAATAAAAATTTGGATTAACCTGTAGAAACTATAACAGAAATATATTACTATTGCACAGTAGAATGTACAAAATAACAACAACAATAGGGCTGCACGATAAATCGCATGCGATATTTAACTACACAGAGCCGTTGTTCTCTGACGAGCTGCGCAAAAAATCGCGCGAATATGAACGTGGTTTCGCGCAGCTCGTCTGTGAACAACGGCTGTGTAGTTAATGCTGCTCAATGTGAAAGCACGCACGTGATGGAGATTTACCGCTGATTACAGAACCGGCTTTACTGATAAGATGCGCGTTAAATATCGCATGCGATTTATCGTGTAGCCCTAAACAACAACAATAATAACAGTCCCATTTTTGTCAATGCTTTAATTTAACTGTAAATAAAAAAAAGAAAATTAATTGTTGAAATTTTATTTGATTGCACTTTAAAACATCAATTAACTTGTTAAATATTTATATTACTATTTGAATGCCACAATTTTTTAAATAGGCCTAATAAATTTGTATGAAATCATAAAACCTAAAACCGATAGCACTGACAAAACATTTCATATGGCCTTAATTGTTGTTCAAATTGTAAAATTATTAAATTGTTAACATTTTATGACATCAAATTAATTAGGCATCCTTTTTAATTATTACAATTTAATTAACCATCAAAAACAGAATCCAAAACACTTTCAAAGAAAAACGGTTAAACGTTTATGCATTTATTTGAATTGTATTATCATATTTAATAATAAATTTGTGTGATAAATCATAACTCAAATCAAAGAATCCAGAAAAACGAATTTCTGAAACAGTAAAACACATTTCATAAGGCCCTATTATTGTTAACATTAACAGATTATTAAATTGTTAAAGTTTTTATAAAGACCTTTTGATTTTGAAAGCCTAATAAAAACCATTAAAATTTCATCCAGAACAATTAAAACGGAAAAACAGAATTTCTGAAAAATCCAAATGGATTTCATTGGGCTCTACTTATGTGTCCAAATACACTTGAGGTCATCTGGCCTCGTCAGCAGGCTAATTCTTAACCTGAAACACTGATCGCCTCTAACGAAGCTAATAAAGCATTCCACTGTGAGCAGCTGGTTGGAAAAACTCCTCTCATTTGCCCTTTGACCCTCGAGTGAGTCAGTTCCCTCCCCCACTCCAAACAGAGGCGCTGGACTTCCCCATGTGATGCAAACTGCTGTACAGCAGCATCAGATCCAAACGCAAGCTCAAAGTCAAACACACTGACGGCACGCACTCGTCTGTCACTCCGGCTCTGGACAGAACGAGTTGCATGCAACAACATGCATTGAAACACAACCAGCAGATATATTCCTTCTTCAGACAGGCATTACTGCAAAACAATCAAGTGATAATGACCAGCTAACTGTACATTATCCCACTTATCACAGGACAACTTCCGAAATGAATATACATTTACATTTATGCATTTAGCAAAGGCTTTTATCCAGGCGACTTGCATTGCATTCAAGCTATGCAGTTCATCAGTTCCTGCGTTCCCTCGGAATCGAACCTGTTACCTTGCTGTCTGAGCAAATGCTGATCTGAGATCAAATTATTTTATGTAGAGACGGCAGAGAGACAGAAGGCTATGTAGGAAACACTGACCAGATGAGTGGCCTGTTATACAGTGCTGTCCTGGACAATGGTCATTATTTAGAAATATCTGACCGCTCAACGCTGCAACTGACCAATCAGAATCACAATAGTTTGGCTAGCAAAATAAATAAGCTTATCAAAGGAAGTTTATTAAAGGAATAGTTCACCTCACCATGACTGCAGTCTATCAATAAATGACTGAAAAAAGCTGCGTGTTTGTAAGAAACAAAGTTTTTACTTTAAACCAGTGCTTCCTGCTAAAATACGAATCCTCTATCCATGATATTGTATTCTCCACTGACAAGGTCACCTCGTCTGAATCAGGAGAAAAATGTGTACAGACCAAGAACCGTTTATAAGCCAAAATGGTCCAAAACAGCTCTATATGCTGGGGGGACAACAGGAGACAGACATTTTCACTGGAGGAAGCATTTGAAGTTAAAAACGTCTTGATGGATGTGTTTCTTACAAACATGCAGCTTTTCACTTCTCAAGACGTTAACTGCTGGACTGGAGTGGTGTGGATTATTGTGATGTTTTTATCAGCTGTTTGGACTCTCATTCTGACGGCACCCATTCACTGCAGAGCATCCATTGCTGAACAAGTGATAGAATGCAACATTTCTCCAAATCTGATGACGAAATAAACTCATCTATATCTTGGATGACCTGAGAGTGAGTACATTTTCAGAAAATTGTCATTTTTGGATGAACTATTCCTTTAATATAGCTAAACGTTTGTGCATCAAATCAGACTCTACATTATTGTATTATGTGGCTAATACTAATACAACAATCTAGTTTGCTTGAGGTCACAGAGGGGCTGCAGTGGGATGAAGGCGGTTATGGGTGGAGTCAGTTCATCCCCAAGAGGACACACCCATCCTATGGAGTTATTATCTGACCAGCAGTTCACAAAATCAATCAATACAAAACTGTCTCTCAACTCCCAGCTATTATCAATCAATCACTCAAAACAGGTCTGTTCTGAGTACAAACAAATCAGCAAACTACTCTCAAAACATCCAGGTTACAAAGAATGGCTTGAGAGGTCTGTGAAAACTCTTTTTCTTCACATTTTCTGAATTGATAATATGAGGAAATCATCAGAATTCTGTGTAAAGGATTTAAACGAAGCTCTAATTGGAAAGCAGGTAACACTTTATTTTAGGGTCTCTTAACTAGTTGCTTATTAGCATGCATATTACTAGAATATTAGCCATTTATTAGTAGTAATTAAGCACATATTAATGCCTTATTCTACACGACCTTATTCTACATCCCTAATCCTACCCAATACCTAAACTTAACAACTACCATACTAACTATTAATAAGCAGCAAATTAGGAATTGATTGAGGGAAAAGTCGTAGTTAATAGTGAATAAGTGTTCCCTATTCTAAAGTGTTACCGGAAAGCATTATCCAATTAAGCAAAAATACCTGTCAAATGTGCTATTTCGACTGTTGATACACCGCATATCTTTGCGGATGGTATTTTCTCTTTAATTATTTAATGTTCACATTTTAAATCTTAGATCAAATCTGTGATTCTATTAGAAGTTTTTTTTCTCTCTCTCTTGTCTGGAGCTACAACCTGCAATTGCTGTGTATTTGATCAACTTTAACTGGCTCTGACTGAATGTATAAAGGAAAGAAATGCAAACTTAATAACAAACAATGTGCTACAGCAAGATTCCGCACAAGCAGTGCCACTTTAAAGAGATAAACAACATCTGTGGACTAAAGATGCTTCCCAAAGGGCAAAAACGACGTTCAGCCCAACACAGCTTATCAATCACCCTCAGTTTGAACAGTGATAGTCTAATAATGGAACTGTAACAACAACTAATGACGCGTTCAGCAGAATGGAACGTGAAGAGTTACATTGTATCACTGTGACGTCACGTTCAGTGGAACTGTTACTTTGTATCTCTGATCTTGTGCGTTAGCTCATTGGCTACTGTAGTTAGCCTCTCTCTCTCTCTCTTATTTTTCCGCTATGTTTGTGTCTCTCTGCAAACAACATGTGGGAATATAGGTGTCTTTACCTAGATCGTCCATGTTCGCGCGCTTCCAGAAGTGCTCCGCTCCTAATCCGAGTCTGGAGAACAATGTGTAGAGCTGATTATTAGAAGACAAGTCTCTGCTGAAGTTTTTCCTGCTCTTCTAGACGCAGGTCTGTGTGGCTGGACCAGCCTGGACCCCCTAAACATCACAGAACAGAGGAACTCGCTTCACTGCAGCGACCCCTGGCGGCCGAAGAGCGAAACATAAAGAGCCGTGGGTCAATGGAAAACAGCGAACTTTCCATTTTACGTACTTACGCATTTCTAACGTTCTGTTTAACCATACATATCATAAAATGTAGTCATATTTGTTTATGTTATTAACAACACGAGGATTCAATCAAACTTTTATAAATGACATCTGTAGGTGTACTGTTTTTGATAAACTATATACTTTGAAAAATAGGATTAAAGTTTGAAAATCGGTCAGCATTTAAAATGTAACTGACAGTGACTGTCATCATCGACATAATAGTCCTTTATTTTGTATGTCACTATCAATATCTGCCTCTGTATCTATACTTAATGTCTTTCAAACTATCCTTTTCAATTTAAAATTAACTATTTGTTTGCTCCCTTTGCAGACATGTCGTAAAAAGCTGTTTTGACTTGAACTAAATGTATTCAGTTTAATTCAGTTATAAAAATTTATATTTTTTGACTGGAATAAAGCTGGCTACGTTTCATATTTCACCTAAAATCAAACTGTTTTAGAACTATTACGTTTTTTATTTATTTATTGCATTTCCATAAAGAAATAATTTCCCTTTGAAAAAACCATTAAGGAAAAGGAATACAATAATAATGACAGTAAAATGTATTGTTTTCAATAAAATGAGACTTTGCTTGAATTACAGCTATGATCCTAAAACAGGAAAACAGAATGGAGAAATGATGAGTATCTTTATTGTTATGAATATTGTTTAAATAAATAAAAAAAGTCATAAAGAGCATTTGAAACGTTTCTCCTGATGTCAAGGTGGCATAACTGTCTTTAAAACAAGATCTGTGGTTTTAAATGGCAGTTTTCTAAGTTGCTGTTTCAGCAAACGCATTAACAAAAGATGTGACATTCAGTTTCCTGTGATTGAAAAAAAAAAATGCTGGACTTTGAATAAAACAAACAAAATCATCTCACATTATGAACATTCATCCCCGAGCATCTTAAAAACACAGAGGACACGTAACTGAAATGTCCAGTTTTTCAAATCTAGTCTCGATTTTGTGTCAGAAGTCCACAGGCTTCAGTTTCTTCTCCTCCTGTTCGGTCAAAGGCTCCTGAGCCAGAATTTTGCTGTGCAGACGGTGATGTTTCCCGATGCCCAGTTTGGGTAAACCTCGATTCAGGCCCTCCAGCAGAACACAGGACTTACACAGGGCCTGACTGGAGATGTAGCCGCAGCGCGAGCACGTTCCCTGCACCGGCATCTTCACCCCTTCCTTTATAGAGAGCGTCTCGCCGGAGTGGATGACGTCTATGATGGAGCTGGGCCTGATGGACTCCAGGTCTTTGAGGAAGGCGCGAGCGTGTCCCCGGTAGGCGTTGGGCGAGTAGACGCACTCTGTGGAGAAGTAATCGAGCTTCTTAAAATAGGCGTAGAGGACGATTTCTTTCTCGTAGGCGTATTTGAGGGGCTTGCAGCGTGGGATGGCACCCTCTCCGTCACTAGCCGTGCTGATGGAGGTGCAGCGGCAGAGACGAGCGATATCTCCACGCAGGACATTCATCAGCACCGTCTCTGCCACGTCGTCTGCATTGTGACCTGCTCAATAAACAAAACAAACATCATTCTATCTATCAGCCTTGGAAAAAAACATTTATTTTATCTATTTTTTTGAAAAGAAAAAAAAAAGGTATGGAGGGCCAAACTTGCAGAAAAAAGAAAGAATAGGAAAATAAAGGAAGAAATTATATAATTCATTTTATACTTAATTTTTTCATTTATTTGTATATTTATACATTTATTTACTTTTACTTTTCTGTATGTAACATGGAAATAAGGGAGCTGGTCCTTTCTGCATCTTTGGTAGAAAAGTGTCAGATCTGGTCCGTTTAATTTATTTCTATATTTAATTTTCATTTCTGCAGGCTTGGTCCTCCATAAAAGAGAAGTGTTAACTCTATTGAACTTTTTTCTTTGTTCACGAGGATGATTTTTTGATCTACCCTTGTCACTTTCATTTCTATAGGAGTTCAGAGAGTATTTCAGAATAATGTAAGAGATGAAACAGGAAAAAATTTACTAAGCGTTACACTGTATAAAACTCATAAAATATAAATATCATAAAATATCATAATAAATCCTTATAAATTAGCCTTAAGGTTTTGTAGGTGTAATCTAATATATTCAGGATGGCTCAGTCATATGAAATAATGTTTTTGATAACAAAAAGTTTAATTTATGCATTACCACAGGAAACAAACATTTTAAAGTGATATCTTGCCTAAAAAAATAAATAAAATAATAATATATATTTTTTAAAATAACCATAAATAAAAGGCAGAACAATAACATGACCATTCATCAGTGACGTAATTACTTTTTTAAATCATTATAAGAAATGTTCTTTGCATTATTTGCATAATTTGAAAGAGGATCTTGAAAGAATGTAAATATATCTCTATTTCCAAACATACTTGCCAATATATTAAAGGGTTAGTTCACCCAAAAATGAAAATTATGTCATTAATTACTCACCCTCGTGTTGTTCCAAACCCATAAGACCTTCGTTCATCTTCTGAACACAATTTAAGATATTTTTGATGGAATCTGACAGCTCTCTGACCCTCCCATAGACAGCAAGGTAACTACCACGTTCAAGGTCCAGAAAAGTACCAAGAAGATCGACAAAGTAGGACGTGTAATCCACATTTTCATCTCTACTGCGTCACTTTAGACGCGCATTCACGACAGTACCATGACGCGAGCGTGTGGAGGCGCCGGCGCTGACCCAGATCCGGCGTGATGACGTCATTACGCCGGATCTGGGTCAGCGCCGCCACACGCTCGCGTCATGGTACTGTCGTGAACGCGAGTCCAAAGTTACGCAGTAGAGACGAAAATGTGGAATAAAGTCGTTATTTTTGTTTTCTTTGCGCAAAAAAGTATTCTCGTAGCTTCGTAACTTTACAGTTGAACCACTGATGTCACACGGACTACTTTATCGATCATCTTGGTACTTTTCTGGACCTTGAACGTGGTAGTTACCTTGCTGTCTATGGGAGGGTCAGAGAGCCCTCAGATTCCATCAAAAATATCTTAAATTGTGTTCCGAAGATGAACGAAGGTCTTACGGGTTTGGAACAACACGAGGGTGAGTAATTAATGACAGAATTTTCATTTTTTGGGTGAACTAACCCTTTAAGGTTGAGATGGTACAATGCAATTTATTAACACCGAAACACATGATTTGTCTTGCAGAATGTTTAAAATCTCACACAGACATGCTTGATCAAACTGGTAAAGGCAGTGAAAGACACTGATCACTTGCCTGTGCATATCTTGTCCACTTTCAGCATCATGGCTCCTCGGTCCAGCGCCTGCCTGCGAAACACACCGCAGAAAGTGCAGTTATTCTTCAATCCCACCTGCTTCACGATGGCGTCCATGGTCCAGCCGTACAGCTCTTCATAAGCCACGATCTTCAGCGGCAGCTCATACTGCTGCTGGTTCCTCTTCACCGTCTCCAGCGAATCATCTCTGTAACCCGTGATGCCCTCATCCACCGACAGCAGCAGAAGGCTCAGGCCGTAATCGTAGCGCTCGTTCAGGACCTTCATCACATGGGCCAGGACGGTAGAGTCCTTTCCGCCCGAGGCACCGATGGCCACGGTCTCTCCACGGTTAAAGAGTCCGGCGGACACGATGGTTTGATGGATCTCCTCCTCGAACGCCCAGAAGAAGCAGTCCTTACAGAGAGAGTGTCCGGTCTTGGGCCGTTTGAGCACAGCACGTCTCTGGACGCAGTTACTGCACTGGACCGGCATTGTGACACACACAGGGCACTGCACAGCATTTCAGAGAAATATCAGATTAAAACACATCTTTAACTGGTTCTCAATCTTTTGTGTGTCACAGACCCCCAAATATGATCATCCTGCTGCAAATAATTCTAAAATGTAAAAGCAGCTATATATTTTCAGCTAATTATAATGTGGAAAAAACACACACACGTCATTACATTTTTCTACTCACTATAGTAATGATGATGATAGATGGATTATTTATTTAAATCCATTTTAAAATCAATTTATAATTTTCGTCATTTAATTATTTTATTCTAAATATTTATGTTTTTAGTTCATCTTAATTGTTTATTTATTTAAAAAAAAATTTTAACATGGTTTTTCTCTACATTTTTCCACAGACCCCCCCGCACACTCTTGTGGCCCCCAGTTTGAAGACCCCTGCATTAACCCTTTCTGGCACTTGGCATTATTTAAAGCAGGAATATTTCATAAATGTTTTTTTTAGATTGAGGAAAAGTGATGGTCCTTACATAGTTATTTTGAATATTTCTTTTGAATGTGTTCTCTGAAAGTAACATGTTACAGAATAACAATGTATTAAAATATGTATGCACCTAAAAGCATATTAACTTCATAAGTTAAAATGGGGTGGTAAATGTTTATTGATGTTATACATCTCATAACAGGGATGAAAGTTGTTGGATTGAATTGTAAAAGTGGATCCTTGTGATTACAGGCAGAAATCACCTCAAAAAATGACCCTAAACCCGTGCACACGTTTGTTTAATGGTTTGTTGCTCGTTTATGGCTGAATAAACTAATACCTGAAATCAATTCGATGTCTGAAAGGGTTCTAGAACTGTCAGAAACTATGACTGAATATGGAAGTTCACAGCATTTGAGAGAATCAGAGTATTTGAGAATGTTTTTTTTTAGAGAGTAACACATTAAAACTAGTACTTAAACTGTATGAAACTCATTTAACAAAAAATACAAACCTTTAAGTTACGTATTTCCTACGGGGTTTAATTCATTTAAACGAGTAAAAACGTAAGACGTTGACGTGCTGAAGAAAATAAAACGCTAAACCGGAGTTATAAAACAAATAGCTGATGAGTTTAAAGACGAATTAAAAATAATACTGCTCTCCTGGTTTAAAATACAACTGAAAGGACTGTTCTTAATCCAGAACATCTCTGCTGTAGAATTAAAAACACGTGACGTCAGAGACGCTGCGCACGTCATGAACGTCGGTCTTCCTGCTTGACTCGGAGTTCTGGCGCCCTCTTTTGTCTTGGCGACAAAAGCGTTTACATTTGACCTTTTATGTAAAAAACAAAAAACAAAACCATGATTATTGTACATTATATGCATTGCATATTAAGTGTATAATAAATTTACGAGTGCAGACTACCTTATATTCATCTAATTCGAATTTACATTACAAAAACATAAATTACAAACAAAAATAGTGTTGCTAACAAGCTAGACATACAAATAAGTATTCTGGTCTGTGTCTTTGCAATAGTGATTTTTTTGGTAAACATTCTGTCACTTGCATGTAAAAAACGACCAGCCAACAACAAGAAAATGTAGCCTATGTATATAGCAACAGTACACAAACTTATTGTTGTCTTTCTTCCTGAATATGATCCAAAAGTGATTTAAAAGGGACTTGAAGATGAAAAGATAGGCCTACAAACACAAGTGATAACAAACATGAAATTTATTATTAAAAATATTTGTAGAGTAAAATTAATCACTATTTGTATCAAACTCCAAAACTCAGATGACAATTATCAATATTGTAAAACTTTTTGCAGTCACTGAAATCAAACCTATAACTTTCAGGCCAAACCCATAACAGAACTATAGGTTTCTCCTCTGCTATCTTAGTAAGAGAGCTGTTGCTCTTGGCACAGTTTTGTTCTGAGTTTAGTTTGGGTTTAGGAAGTGGCGGTGGACAGTTGTGTGAAGGTGAGAACCGGGAAAACATGATGCTCATAGAGATGACAACTGCCAATGTCACTGTGACACCCAGACGGCACAGCAATGAGCCATTTGTGCTTGACATCATCTGATCTAAAAAAACAACAACAACAATGAAAGGGAAGTGATCGGACCCTTTCACCAACGAGAATAAAAACACTTGATATTAAAAGGTATTTTGAATTAAATAAAAGTTAGGCTACCACTATGTTTGGTCTGTGAGAAAGACAAAAACTACAGCACAGTGGAAGCTAATCGTTGTTTTATTTGCTAAATTTGACATTTGTCTCATTCAATTAGACAAGATTCACATTGTGTAACATGTCTGGAATTAATGTAGCAAATTCAAGTCCTCACCGCTTTTAAGAGCTCTTGATTAAAAAAAAAATACTGGAGTTCTTTGTCGCATATGATAGCAACGTGTTCAGCGCCACATGATTACACTATATGCTGAAAGACGGAAGTTTCAGACTAGAGAAGTATCGGATCGGAAATTACTCTGAAAAAAAAAAAAACGCATGAAAGTCAGCGCTTGACACACCCGGTGCGGTTGAGCTTCGAGCGACTCGATCCCAGTTCGTGGACCTTTCCGATCTTGTCCGAACTTCATTTGAATCAGGGCAAAAACGCCGAGATCATCCTGAGCCTTCTGTGCACATGAACCTCGAGCCAGCTAATCTACATCGACACTGGATAACCCCAGACAGATGTGATAAAGCATGTATGTACATGCTGAAAAAAGCATCCGATTCTTTACTAGATTTGGCAAACTGGCTGCCAGCATCATCAGATCACAAATGTTCAGTTTCAGTTCAACAGACGTTTAAAATGTGACATTTCTCGTTTGTCAGGGATTCTTCTAAAACTTCAGGTACGATGCTCTTGTAGTCATTCTGCTGGTTGTCCGTTCCAGACAATTTGTCTTGTTGATGGGCTGAAGAGACTTACGGATCCACACCGTGGCCTATTAATATAGACATTAAAACATCCTTATCTTAAAATACTCCAAAGGCAGTCGGACAAATTCAAACGGCAAACGCACAGTAAAAAAGCAGTCAGACAAATGATAGTCTACGGACATACAATACACAAACTGAGGTAAAAGCAGGAAATACACAAATAGTAGCCTGCATGAGAGTCAGGTGAGAACGCCTGAGAACACACAGGACTCAATGCAATAGTGACCTCTGGTGGAGACATTGATTAAAAATAACTTGACTTCCTATGTTCAAAATTACTCATAAAACAAAATTAAACATACTTGTTTATTTTGTAACAGCATGCAGCATCAATAATCCAGTATAATGTTTTACAATAAAATGTGCTATTTCGGGCCAGACTGTGTTCACTTGCATGAACCAGAGAATGCACATTTGTAAGCATATTCTTGCAAATATGTGAGCCCAGACCACAAAACCACTCTTAAGTCGCTGGGGTATATTTGTAGCAATAGCCAAAAAAACATTGTATGGGTCAAAATTATCGATTTTTTTTTTATGCCAAAAATCATTAGGATATTAAGTAAAGATCATGTTCCATGAAGATATTTTGTAAATTTCCTACCGTAAATATATCAAAACTAAATTTTTGATCAGTAATATGCATTGCTAAGAACTTCATTTGGACAACTTTAAAGGCGATTTTCTCAATATATATATATTTTTTTACACCTTTAGATTCCAGATTTTCAAATAGTTGCATCTCGGCCAAATATTGTCCTATCCTAACAAACCACACATCAATGTAAAGCTTATTTATTCAGCTTTCAGATGAGGTATAAATCTCAATTTCGAGAAATTGACCCTTATGACTGGTTTTGTGGTCCAGGGTCACATATATGCTTTGCGTTGTGGCAACTGGTGCTCATTTACCAACCTTGTAAATAGCTCTTGTCATAAAGTAGGTTGTCAACAGCACTTTGTTCTTGTTGGACTTCAGACAGGTGTACAAAACTCAAATTTGATCTGCTGTTTAAATGTGCACAGTATCCTGTGAAACCCACAGTTGACCCTCAGGTCACATGTAACCCTGGATGTTCATGGATGTTTAAAAAAAAACATTCATTCATTCATTTGTTTGTAGATTCTTTATCAGGGCTGGGTAACTTTGGTCCTGCGGGCCACTGTCCTTCAGAATTTCGCTCCAACTCTAATCCAACACATCTGCCTGTAGCTTTCTAGTGATTTAGAAGACATTGATTAGCGTGTTCAGGTGTGTTTGATTAGGGTTGGAGCTAAACTATGCGGGACAGTGGCTGTTTCTCAATACCAGCTCCCGAGGACGGGAGGACGCAAGTCCGGTAATTCTGCAAAAGGAACAGCAGAGTATAGCCTACTTGATAACGGCACTCAGCTCGCCTCGGCTACTCCGGTTATCCTCACTGTATGCATTTACAACACGACGAAATATGATATCAAACACTCTTTTCGTTTTCATTTAAACATATTAATAGCCGCAAAAATGTAGTTCAGGGAACGTACACATTACAGTGAAACAAAATATTATATCAAACAGCATTGACTCTTTTCTGTTTAATTTAAAATATAAATAGGCTCACAAAAATGTGGTTCATGCAACGCATACACGCATTACAATAAAGCGAAATGATATCAAACACCACTGCCTTGTCGTTTTCTTCAAAATATAAAACACAACCCTCATTTCGTTTTCATTTTAAAAATATAAAACATATTAATATGTGGTTTAGGTAATATGTGCTAACACAATTATTCGCTAATATAATCAATTTTTTCCACTTAGAAGCTTATTTTATCCACCGAATTTCTTGATAAATAAATAAAACGAATGATTAAAAAATGCACTTTAGAATCGATGTTTTTATGTGAGGATCGATCCTTTCAAAACAACATCAGTATCGAAAGTATCGATACTTAATTAAGGATCGATCCGCCCATCCCTAGCGTCGTCGACTCTTCATCCAACGCGGCAAACTGGATCAACCAGTGTTTTCCATCCATACATTGATTTATTTGTGGCGGCCCTCCACAATATCCACATTGACCGCCACAAATAGCCTATCCACCGCCCCTGCCATCAGCTCCCGCGTCTCACGACTTTAGCACTATATTTAGCAACTTTCAGACTCTTTTAGCAACTTTTCCCCCCTATAAAAGGTACATACTGACAAACATAGCAACGTTTTTGGATAAACCTTAGCTATTCAATTTGAAGATTTCGTCAGTACTGCCCCGCGAGCGTGAAGTCTGACTTTCCCGGCGCAGTATCGCCTCTCTCGGCGTCTATTCTGTGCAGTGAGCCGCAGCGCATTCAGTTGGCCGTACTGCAGCCGACTCGTCTGGGTATAAACTAAAGCAGCGTTTACAAGCACCTGTCGCTTAGTGTTTGGGCTTATAAATATGAACATATTTCGTCTGTTAATATGCACATAGTTAGACGCAGGCAGTGCGCTGCATGAGACAAAAAAGTAATATAGTCAAAACCACCGCAAATAGTCGTTCTTCAGTGTTGATTTAATCAGCAGGATTTAAAGAGTAAAGTGAGAGTACCTCCTGGTTAACATGTAGTATTAATGGGTCGTGTTTAGTCACTATTTATAGCCTACTTGTTTTTTGGTATGACAACAGAAAATATGTAAATGGGAACAGCTTTATTGGGCATTCAGTTGTATTACAGTATGTGACAGTTCAGAGAGTAGAAGAGAGATAAGTGCCAAACTTGTCTGAATGCAAACCCGACGCAATGACGTCATAAATATGCTAATTAATATGTGACGTCACCTGCCGCCACAAGTCTCACAAAATCCTGAGGGAAACACTGGTTCGTGTCATATCTCCAGGTGTCACAAGCCTCAAGACAACCCAATACTTTTTCTTTCTTTTGACGGAAATCATGCTTTAAAGAAACTCTCTTCTGTGTTTCTGTCTGTTAATCATCAGACATTGGCTATATATGGGACACCAAATTACAGATTTTTTCTCTCTCTTTTAATCAGGTGAGGAACTGAATTAAGTACTTTGTTTCAAAAAATATAATTTGAATATATTTTTATTACACTAAAATGGTCAAAGTTTCAACTTTATATTTTATTACAAGATAATGATTAACTTTTACTTGTGTAGCTTTTGCTTCTCACAAACGTGTGAACTGATTCTACAGTAGTTTTATTTAGAATTTCTTTGAATTCTTGTTTGTAAAAGTGAATAAACTTTCTTCAATTATTCTCTTTAGGTCAGAAATGTCAAGCACAAATGGCCCATCGCTGTTGCGTCTGGGTGTCACAGTGACGATGGCAGGTGTCATCTCTCTGGGCGTTGTGTTTTTCTGGTTCTCACCTTCACACAACTGTCCACCTCCAGTTTTTAGACAAGACCAAAATTCACAAATCAACTCTGCCAAGAGCAACAACTCTGTAACTGAAAAAGCAGAGGAGAAACCTATAGTTCTGTTATGGGTTTGGCCTGAAAGTTATAGGTTTGATTTCAGTGACTGCAAAAAGTTTTACAATATTGATAATTGTCATCTGACGGATGATAGAGCTCTGTACAGCGATGCAGATAATGTCATCGTTTATCACAGAGGCATCAGCTGGGATCTGTCCAACCTTCCTCCATCTCCTCGTCCTCCGTTCCAGAGGTGGATTTGGTTGCATTTGGAATCGCCAACCAACACCAAAAGGATCCCAGGTCTGGAAAACCTGTTCAATCTCACTCTCAGCTACAGACAGGATGCTGATATTCCTGTACGGATGCGCTTGATGACCAGGAAGAAACCTAATGAGGATTTTGTGATTCCCAAAAAGGACAAACTGGTGTGTTGGATTGTAAGTAACAAGGATCCATCAACTGGTGTTGACACAAGGAATGTTTTTTACAGGGAATTCAGCAAATACATCCAAGTGACTTTGTTTGGAAAGGCTTTTTCAAGGTTTCTGGGTTACGACGACTACTATCCAACCATGGCTAGTTGCAAATTTTACCTTGCTTTTGAGAACTCCATCCACAAAGACTACATCACTGAGAAGTTAAATGGGCCACTCGCGGCAGGTACCGTCCCTGTGGTGTTGGGTCCTCCGAGAAGAAACTATGAAAACTTTGTTCCTGCTGAGTCCTTCATTCACGTCAATGACTTCCCTGATGCAAAGTCACTAGCCGAATATCTGCTTCAGCTGGACAAGGATGAAGATGCATATCGCAAGTACTTTAACTGGAGGAAACATCTCACTCCAAGTCCTCATTTAATATTACAGACACAAGAGTTTATTCTGGCTATTTGCACTGCCTGTGACCATGTAGCACGACGCAAGGAATATAAAGAAGCTCATGATCTCTATGATTGGTACTTCAATTAAAGTTACCTCAGATTTTCTTACATTATCAGTTACTGACTACAATGTTTATGAAATAGATTGTATTTTATATGAACTGTTACTTTTGATATTAGATTTTGTAACTGTTTTGGTGGAAGTATTTTAATAAATCATTGCTTATGAATGACCTAGTAATTAAGTGTACTTTTGTTTTATTTTATATTCCAGCTCTAAACTAGCTCTTTTCGTAATCGCTTGTGTTTTTTATTCATTTGTAAATAACTCTTGATAAAATGATATGGTGAAGAAATACATGTAAATATTTATGTGCTACTTTATTATGTTGATGAACACACTCATTTTGTCAGCACCAGCCAATAATAAATGCACAGGATTCATTGATTTTGACAGAACTTTGGCTGATTCAGGTGTGTTAGATTTGGTTTTAACCACATCTCCAACCCGCAGACCTTGATTAACTAGTTTGTGTGCCTGAAATTGTTCTCTTTGTCAGTTTGAGATTGGTCTCGCAGAATATCCAGAAAATCAGGCTGTACGTCACTCAGAGCAGGTGATTTTCATCAGCTATTGATGATGCAACAAGCAGTGAAAAATGAGCTGTGAAGCAATGTGGCGACTACCAGTGAGAGAGCTGAAGTATACAGTAATCGTATTTACTCAGTTTTATGGACTATTTCTTTTTCATACAAATAAAAGGCCTGCGGTCTTTATCTTAAGTGTTGAAGATGAATTTGGTGTTTGACATGTAGAGTTCAGTGCAGCAAAATAATTCAAGTAAACTTTTAGAAATAAAGCAAATGTTGACTGAGTGCAATGTTTAGTTGACATTCGAGCTAATTCTTTTGTTGTTGTGCAGCTGGGCCATCCACGTCTATCTCGTCACGTCTTATGTCTCAGGTTTCCGTGTCAGTGTGTCTTCATGTTGGCCAGACCAAGTGCGGATTGTAAGACTTTGACTTTGGAGTTACAGAAATGTAAACCACACAACCAACACAACAGATTTTTGGCCAGTTGATTGCAGTTGTATGGAAAGAGTGACCAGCTCCTACAGTACATTCAGAGGAGTGAAAACCATGACACGAGGGTAAGTACATTTACTTCCATTCCTAAGTGAACTGTTCCTTTAACTTCTCTGTGATTAAGAAATATGTAACCACAGAGATGCAGAAAGCCTTTTAGAGTTTTACCACAAATAGACCAGAAGGAAACAGGCACAATGGTAGGTAGGAGCAAGGTGTTGGGTGTGACAACAGACCCCATGTGTTATGTTACAGTTCCATCATTCAACAGATTGGGTTTGATGTCAAGGTAGAACCCTAATAGTTGAGCTTAAGATAATTTAATAATAATATTAAATAGTTAACACACTGTAAAAAAAAAAAATCCAATTATCCAACAAAATGTTGGAAGGGTAAAAATATTTAAAGGGTTAGTTCACCCAAAAATGAAAGTGATGTCATTAATTACTCACCCTCATGTCGTTCCAAACCCGTAAGACCTTCGTTCATCTTTGGAACACAAATTAAGATATTTTTGATGCATTCTGTATATATATATATATATATATATATATATATTTATGTGTATATGTATGTATATATGTATATGTATTGTCTGAGGAAAATGAACTGTTTAAGTTAAGGGAACGTGGTCTTTCATTTGTGTTCCGAAGATGAACGGAGGTCTTACGGGTTTGGAATGACACGAGGGTGAGTAATTAATGACATCATTTTCATTTTTGGGTGAACTATCCCTTTAAGTTGAACTAATTTTATTGCTAGGGCTTGTAGTTGAGATGACATATTCAGTCTACAAAAATATATTTTAACAACATTACATAAAGGGTTATTTTCAAATCCAGTCAACATTCAGAATGCCAAAGTTGACTAAACTAATTAAAACAAATCCAGGCAATATTGAGATCATTCTGCACATGCGGCAGCTTGAGTGAATTCGCGGAAGAGACAGCAGCCGCCATTTTGCCAAGTTCCAGCGTCGGGTAAGTTGTACTAAATAAATGTTATTTTTTAGACTAAATTTATTGACAAAATTGTATAACATAAGCAATGTTTTTGAGTGGATATATTTAGAAGTGTTTTATAAGTTGTATGTCTGAAGAAAAGTGGACATTTAAGTTAAGTTTACGTCAAGTTCACACGTCAGGTAATTTGTACTCAAAACTTATATATATATATATATAAAAAGCTGTAACTGTTTTATTTAAAACGTGTGTATATATATATATGTATTGTCTGAGGAAAATGAACTGTTTAAGTTAAGGGAACGTGGTCTTTCATTTTGTTTAATCCATAAAACACTTAATGTCAAAAGCTGTGTTACTATAATGAATTTTAGGTTTAATTTAGGCATGTTGTATGATATTTTTGTGTTTCCGCTAAGTGATAAGATCACATTAAGAGATCACGTGGTCTTTCTTTATAAGCCATGTTGCTTAATAATACGACTTACCGAAATCTTTGAAACATGTAATGTAAACCACAGTAATACGCTTATTTTAATTAACGTGGGCGTATTGAATGGGTTTTTGCATGTGCAAACTTTTGCAACTGTCCCGTGAAGTTAAAAGACAACATTAAACGAGACTAACAACCAGCCACATTACAAACTGTGTTTCTGGTCTCGTGAATGGCACTTCGGAAGGGGAGTTCGTCATTCCAAACGAAAATGAACAACTGAATCCTTTCACAAGGCTGTTATCAAAGCAGGGTGCATCTCAGTCAGTTCCCTAGGTAAGGAATCAGTGCACACAAGTTCGTATTTATCAACAACAACAAAAAATGGTTGCAACTTCTGTTTCATCACAGATTTAATTAACTGATATTTTACATTGATTTAAAAGCCATCATTTCATTATTTGAGAAATTGTGGTTTTCTTTCTCCATCAGGGTGTGGCCAAAGGTTTCACTGATGCTTTGTCATCGTTGCAAGCTTTCAGATGCAACCCAGTCAGTTCTTCCAAGGCACCAAACACTGCCATGTGACCAGACCGCTCCATTGAAACTACATAGTGTGTGTGTGTACTTTCAACACTAAGACTTAAGGTAATATGTGTAAATGTTAAAAAATGTGCTTTATTGTTCTCAGTGGCATCTACGCTAATATTAGTCTGTTTCTTTCTTATTCCGAGGTCACTGTAGCCACCCAGATCCAGTCTGTATCCAGACCAGATGGTGGATCAGCACCTAGAAATGACTTTGACGGCCCTGAATGTTAGTGGAGATCATGAAAACTAGATGAGCCCCAGAGATAGATCCCCTGCAAAGGCCGTGTCAACTAGACGGCCATCGGGACAAGACCACGGGAACCAGATGAATCCTCAGTCAGACTTTGCTGCAGCCTGGAATTAATTAAATTTCTGGTTTGTCTGGCCAGAGGAGAACGATGGAGTTTTGGTTCCTTCGGCACACTATTTTCCTAGTTAATACTGTAAGCTGCTTTGACACAATCTGAATTGTAAAAAGCGTCATATACTGTAAATAATGGTGACTTGACTTTACTTGACTCGGTTCACTGCAACACCTGGTTCATTTTTTTTCTGACTTCTGCCTCATTTTAAAGATGTAATTGTGAAAAGTAGTAATATTTGTAAATGTTTGTTTGCTTGTTTAGTCTTTTTTTTTTTTAAAGTTCATTAAACAAATGTTTAAAATTAATTTTTGCAGTTGTATTGTAAATCTAATGTTTGATAACTGGAGCACTTATTTTATGAATATGATCCTCAGGCCATCCCAGATGTCGTTGACTTTCTTCAGTAGAACAGTAAAGAAGATTTTAATCTAAATGGTGATTCTTGGTGATACACTGCACATCTGTGGCTGCCGGTTTTCGAAAAAACAAACAAAAAAAACATACAGACAAGATCAAATTAATATTACAGTGATTGTTTTGCTTCATAAGGCCTCGATGTGTCATCAGGAGCCACTGCTAATTTGGTCTTGTCTGTTTTATGTTAAATATGTTTTTTGACTCTTAAAAACCAGTAGCCACAGATGTGTAGTTTATGAATAGCCAAAGACAACGGTTAGTCACCTACATCTTGGATGGCCTGAGGGTGAGTTAATTAACAGCAAATGTTCATTTTTGGGTTAACTGTCCCTTTAAGCCTGCATGTTTAGTCTTTATGACAAGTGTTATAATTGCAGATTGTTATTAAATAAAGGCTATTATGTGTTATAATGTGTGTGATTTTAGTGATTGATAGACACCAGTTAATAATTTTCTTCAACTCAGTATAAAATGTAATAATTAGTTCCACAGCAATTTCTTATGATGCTCAAATAATAAATCTTAGTTGAGGTAACATATGAAGCGCATGGAGTAAATGGTAAAATTTTCTAAATGTTCAACCAATTAAAACATTTTAGTTGAATGGACTATAAAACTAGTTCAGTACAAGTTGAGCCAACTAAAAATAACAATTCAGGTAACACTTTGAAGTCAGAAATTGACTGAATGTCAAAATTCTGTGGAACTAGTTACTAAATAATTAGTTGAAACAGCTTGAAATTATTTACGGTGTAGTGATACTGTTTGTACCAAGTATAAATAGCAGCATCTTTATTACTGTAAGTGTGAATAGTGATAAATGCTGTTCACACAAAGTATGCATGGAAGTAAAAATCTGTTTGTTCTAAAGTTAATATATCTGAGCAATGGTGGGCTTGGCCTTTCAGGTTATGGGTGGCCTGGCCATGAGACTGGTTATTCAGGTTTATGGGTTTCACATGGTACAGTCACACAACCTGTTTAAAAGACGGGTTTGTCTTGCTGTTTATGACCTTATAGCTGATTGCATAGTCCAGTTAGTGCTGAACAGACTTTTTTGACTATATAACAGTATGATTAAAATGGTTTAAAAAATGGCCTATTCTTCTTCCAAAAAACAAACAAACAAAAAAACGTAAATAAACAAACTATTAAAAATGAACAAAACTATCCCTTTTTTGTCCTGAAATTTTTATTAAATTTTTTAAAAATGCCTTCAAAGTTATGAACTGTATCTTTAAATAAAACTTTTAAGAAGTCATCCAT